GTTTTTTTGAGACAGGGTCTCACTATGTAGTTGAGACTGACCTGGAACTCACTATGTAGCCCAGGCTGGTCTCAAACTCACAGCCATCCTCTTGCCTCAGCCTCCCAAGTGCTGGGATTACAGGCGTGTGCCACCACACCCAGTTTCCAAAACTTCTTCATCCTCTCCAGCTGCAATTTGTACCCACAAAACATTACTCCTCTTTCCTCCTGTTTCCAACCATGGCAACCAGTAGTCTACTTTCTCTTCTATGAGTTAGATTACACATGATATATCATAGAATTAGAGTGATATGCTATTTGTCCTTTGTGACTGGCTTATATCACTCAGCATAATATCTTCAAGTTTCATCTTGCTGTAGCATGTCAGAATTTCTTTCCTTTTGAATCTGGATAATATTCCATCATAGCTATATAGTACATCTTATCTAGGCATTGTCTATAGATTGAGTTCCTGCTTTCAATTCTTTGGTTTATATATAAACCCAGAGGTGGAATTGCTAAATCAGAGTAATTCTGTGTTTAATTTTTAAAGAACTGACATACCATATTCTCTAGCAGCTGTACCAGTTTACATTCTTCCTAGCAAAACAGAAGGGTTCCAGTTTCCCCACATTTCTCACCACTTATTTTCTATTTTTGGTAATAGCCATACTAGTAGGTGTATGCATATTGACTTTCCTAGAGATCAAAATAAATTTGAGATGATTTTTGCCTATCCTGTATTTATATCTATCATATTTTATTGTCCTTTTACCTATTTGACTAGTACATTGTCAATTCAGAATAATTAACCGGCTAGTTTTTTATTTTTGTGTTTTTTGTCTTTTTGAGACAAGACCTTACTATGCAGTCCAGGCTGGCCTTGAACTCACTATGTAGCTCACGCTGAACTCAAACTCAAGGTGATCTTCCTGTGTCAGCCTCGTGAGTGCTGGGATTACAGGCGTGCACTATCATACCTGGCCAATGGCCAATTCTTGAAGTTTGAAATAGAGCAAAGTATGATTCTGGCTGCTTTTCTTTGGGAACTCCTATCTTTGAGAACTTGAACATCACATTAATTGAAGTTACATGTTAAATTATATTTAGTTTTAAAAATTCTCATATGTGTAAAAAGAAATATGTATAAGGATATTCCTGACAGCATTATTTATAATATTAAAAACCAAACAGAGTATATACATACATACACATGCGAGCACACACACGCGCACGCGCACGCACAGTGGACTACTTTATCAAAAATACTTTGTACCTTTACTTATTGCTGTGGAAATATGTCATCACATTTTAAAATTCAAAAGTACATTAATGTACACCAGATATAGTATGATCTCCTGTATATAAAATTATGTTTATGAGTCTGTAGTATATATGAATACATGAGTACATAAATATTTAGAAAAACACCTAAATTTTAACAGTGGCTATCTTACTGTGGTAGGATCTCAGGTTATTTTTACTTCCAATTTTTGTGTATGTAAATTTTTTTAACACTCCCCCCACCCCAGGGGGCTGGATTGAACTTGGGACCTTGCACTTGTAAAGTAGGCGGTGGAACCACTGAGCTAAATTCCCGGCCCTGAACACATATTATTTTTCTAAAAATAGTAAATCTGTTTTAACACCTTCCCCCAGTTCATAATTAAACAGAAAATCTATACTGTTAATTTCTTTTTTAAAGATTTGACATTTGTTTTCCTGGGAGAACACATTTCAAGAGGGTGTTTTACACAGAGGGAACTGTCCTTGAGTGATAGCTCATGGAGAGTGTGTTTGTGTTTGAGTATTCATAGGCGAGGTTGAATGTAATCCAGTTTATTTTAACTGTACTTTCAAAGACAAATTGTGGTAAGAACAGATCATCATATATAGATATATCTAAAATATTAAGTGATCTTAGCTCTTGTTTACTCTAAGAATCTAGGAATTGGAAAGTCCCATTTGCCTAAATCTGATTCTCTTTGAGTTTCAGGAACCAATAAAATCAAGAGCTCCGCAGCTTCATGTAGAATACAAATATTATAAACAACTTGGCAGTGCAGGTAAGTCAAGATTTTATTTTTCCTCCCTCTAATTAGTATACACTGTACTTGGAAATCCTAAAATAGACACATTTTTAATTTGGTTCACCCTTTTTACCAGAACTGCTTGCTGGATAGTCAACCAGAAGTTTCTTGCTCTTTTCTTCCTAGGACATGGTTAAATTGGCTGGCGTTCTGTGATACCCTGACCATTCCTACAGATTAAGCTTCAGATGTTTTCAGCTGTCTTGATACATATGTGGGGTGGGGTTTTGCTTTTTGGTAGTTCGTTCTTACTCTCTTTTCTTTTGTACTGGGGCTTGAACCTAGGGCCTTCACACTGAGGTACATCCCCAGACCTTTGTAAAATTTATCTTTTTAATTTGAGACAGGGTCTCACTAAGTCACTGGGTTGCCCAAACTGGGCTGAGGCAGCCTGAGGTACATAATGAGTTCAATTTTAGCCTGAAATAAATGAGACCCTGTCAAAAGCGGGGTGGGGGGCTGGTATTATAGGTATGTGCCTCCATACCCACTTACTCTTTTTGTTTCTTTATGTATATGAGAAGAAAGGAAAAAACTGATAATTTGCAAGCTGTATTCTAATGTTTTGAAACACATTCTAAAATATGATGGCACTGTTTTTTATCCATTGTTCTTATTGCTTTGTAAGAGGAATCCATGTTTGTAATAACATGACCTTTGAGGATTTTTCTTTTTAAGGTACTAGGGGTTGCACCCAGGGCCTTGCACTTGTTTGCTCTGCTACCAAGCTATGTTCCTAGCCCTTTTGAGAATCTTGCTAAATTGCCCAGGATGGTCTTGAACTTGTGATCCTCATGCCTTAGCATAACTGGGATTTCAAGTATGTGCCACTATACCTGGCACTGTTGGATAATTTTAAACATTAAGTATAATGTTTTAAATATCTACTGTTTACCAAAAAGCTCTAATTTCTCACTAGCTTCCAGAAAAATATTTTGACTAAACAAATGTACCAACCCCAAATAGGCTGCACTTTTAGTTCAGAAAATTTTCATTTTCTCGGAAAATGAAATCCTTCATTGCTAGTTTCATTACTTGACATTCATAGATGTTCCTCTACTTTTATGCTTCAATAGGTGTTAATCTTTTATATGAATGACTGAAGCATGCATCGAAGGTACTAGTGAAGGAATTTTACTTGACTAACACCCACTGGCTAGAGAATTATATAAGAGCCATTGAGTGTTATTGAAGTCTTATAACCTGACCATGGCATTAATCAGCCATTGTTATAATTTTTTAATTATTGTGTGTGTGTGTGTGTGTGTGTGTGTGTGTAATCAGGGATCAAACTCAGGACGTTGTACTTGCCAGGCAGGCATGGCACCATGAGCTAAATCCCCAGCCCTTTTTTTTGGTATCGGGATTGAACTCAGTACCGTGTGCTTAAGAATCAGGTGCTTATGAGGCAGGTGCTTACTGAGCCAGGTCCCCAGCCCCATTGTTGTAATTTAGGGAGAAATGAAGGATATTTGCCTTTCATTGAACTTAATGTGAGTTTTTGTTCACAGAAAGTAGCCTCTTGATGGATTTCTCGACTAACCATATCCTTAAAAATGTAATTTTCCAGGCATAAAATAAGAGCCTGGCAACTAAGCTCACAGATGTGTAAACTTTGTCTTCCTTGATGTTTCAAATTAAATTTTAATTGTTGTTCCTCTTATGTTCTTCCTGTTTTATAATGTTCTGAGTTTCATAAATTTCACAGTGATGACTCTCACAGCCCACTTATGAGAAGTATGTTTAAGCATCTCTCACAAACCTAAGACACAGGTGAAAACATGCTTAATTCAGCCCAACTGGGGGAAGTGATCAGGCCGATTTACAGAGTTTACTCTGTAGGTCCTCTCAGATAGAGCCAGCAGACCAAGCCATTCTTCCGTTCTTCCTTTTCTAATCACTAGCCAAATAAGCATGCATGGTGGAGCACACCTGTAGTCCTAGCATCTCGGGAGGCTTAGGTGGGAGTATTGCTTAGGCCCAGGAGTTGGAGACCACCATAACTCAAAAAAGCAAAACAGGGCCGGGGATGTAGTTCAGTGATATAGCACTTGCCTACCCTGTTTAGGCACTCAGTACTGTCAAAAAAGGATCCCCCTAAAATCTCACCAACTCATTACGTAGGAATCAAATCTTTGCTGCTTTGAACTTTAAAATACAAACCTCTGCAGTCTTGAGGTTTTGGTTTTATTTGTGCACTAAAATCAAGGAGTAAATAGAACATTGGAAGAAATGAAGAATTACTATAAAGAAGAGAGCCTGAGACTGGTACATTTGTTGTTGCTGTCTATAGGGATAGGAGGGCTCTGTTGTAGAGCCCTGGTCAGGCCTACTATATAGTAGACTGGCCATCATAGCTCTTGCTCCAGAATCTTTTCTCACAATCATCTGAAAGTCATGAAGCCTTCAAGGTTTTATATGAAGTTCAGTAGCAATTCCTGACCCCCTTTTTGGTCCTTGAACTTATCCACTCCTCTTAAAGTAACTGATGTGGATTTTGTCTTAATTTATTTTTGCCTGCAACTAATGGCTAGCCACAACTTTTTCCAAAATAGGAAGAACTTTGGAGATCTGTTTCAAATTTCTCTCCATTGTAAGAATTGCTTTTAGGATTTTCTTTTCTTTCTTTTTTTGGTACCAGGGATTGAACTCGGGTCCTTGCACTTGCAAGGCAGGCCACCGAACCACTGAGCTAAATCCCCAGCCCAGGATTTTCTTAAATGGTCATCCATTTATTATTTCTCAAATGGCCATCTAGCCATAGTATTCACCGTTCTTCAAGGTAATTTCATTGATGGAAAGTTCAAGATGTTTGAAATTTTTCACATTAGTCTAAAATTTGCTGTTTTCATTTCCATGGTGTGTATTTGGACTTTTTGTATTAGTTCAGAGACATTCATCATAGCTCTTGTATACTGCCCCATTTACCATCCACATCCAGGTCTTTTGATTATAGTATCCCAGTAGTACTTACATACTTCTTTAGAAGTTGTAATTGCATATAAACTCTTTGAGAACAAAGCTTGTACCTTCACCTTTTTATCTGAAGGTCCAACGTAGTTCTGTCACATGATAGGCACTCAGTAAGTAGCTCAGTGACATTAAGAAATTAGAGATTTAGTAAGCTTGTCTTTTTACCTTTCTACCAAGTTATTAATAAAAAGGATAACCAAAAAAGGGAGGAAATTATTTCTAAAGTAGATCACTTCGTAAGAAAGTAGATGGGATTTCAGCATGTCTCATTGTAAATGTAAGCATGAACATTAGGGCTCATTTCCAACTTCAGAGTACAAGCGCTTCTCCCTTTGTCTTTCCAGAATAAATTCTCAGCTGCAAGTGTGACTCAGTGGTTAAGTTTGAGCGGTCAGAACACATAAGCCACCACTTTAGAACCAAGGTGATGCACAGGACCATATTCATGTAATCAGTGTTCTTTGTGTGTTACCACTGATGTCTTTGTCATCACAGGCCAGTGATTTGTAAGACATTGAGATACCTCGACAAGGGAGATTTAAAAAAATAAAAATAAAAATCCCACTGTGACTTAGGTTCATTTAGTGAATTAATCAGTATTAGGAAATAGATGCGTAAAATTCTTTAGGAGAAATTATTGGTTATGAACTTAAAAAATACCCGTTGCCAACCTGAAACTTTAAATTCCTAAAATAGGAGCTTTGGGTTGGCTTGGGAGCATGACCATTTCTTCCTTCGGTGCCCAGTTTTCAATCATTCCTTGGTTCTTTGGACTCCTGTTTCACCTTGCCCCTATGATCTTGAAATTCACACTAGTATTCCAGTCATTTGAAGATAGAACAAAGTGTCAGCATTGTATGATTGTGGACGTGATTCGAGTTGAAGTTCCTCCTCCTTGGCCCCTTTTTCATGTTTAAACTCTTTCATTCCTGTATATCCACTGTATTCTCTACGGGCGGTCACATGTTTCAGATGTTGCTCATTATCAAGAATTTCAATACTGGATAGTTTATTCTGAAGATTGATACCTCCAAGATAATTAAGAAAGAAAGTAAAAGGGTTCCCTGAGAGCCTTGAAACTGAGAAGTATTTTGAGCTTCCTAATATTAGCTCTTCTTCTTTCCTAGTGGACATATTTCATAGTCTCAGTTCCCTTATGATATGTCTTCTTTCTTTGATTTAGCATTACAACATTAGTTGTGATACTACGTAGTGTTCATGTTTCTAATTATTATGTAATACCCATTGGCTTCATAGACCATAATTTATCCACACATTTTGTATTTCATACATTTAGACTACTTTTATTTTGAGAAATTATTTTCCCATGTTGACATGCTTTTGTTTTTGTTTTTTGAGACAGGGTCTTACTATGTAGTTCAGACTGGCCTTTAACTCCCTATGTAGTCCATGCTGTCCTCAAACTTGTGGCAATCTTCCTACCTCACCCTCCCAAGTGCTAGGGTTACTTGTGTGCACCACAGTGCCTAGCTCCCCTGTTGACTTTTCTGGGTTCTTTTTTGAGGAACCGGAGATCAAACCCACCAGGGCTTCACATATGCCAGGCAAATGCTTGCTTGATCATTGACTTATACTCCTAGCCCTTCACTACTGATTTCTTTTTTTTTTTTCCAAAAAAATTTTTTTAATCACATTTTGCATTGTGTAATGATTAAATTCGTGGTAGAGAGTTGCTACATGTACATGACGCATTTTAATTTTTTTACTTACCTCTCTTTTCCCTTTCCGCTCCATCTTTTGGTCGACTTCCCATTTGCAAAAGACCTATTTCTCTGTTTCTTATTTATTTTGCTCTTTAAATTATTTACACTATTGATTTGTGATAGCATATTGTAACCCAAAATTTGTCTGTCTTACATTCTTACATTTAGTCACCATGTGGTATGATGATTTTCAAATATTTGGAGCTATGAAATTAAAAATTAAGTTTATTCCAGAAGATTCCTGAACAAAAATAGTTGAGAGAAATATGGGAAAATAAG